TATATTCTGAAGGTTTTTATAGAGGGGTTTGTTCATGCATAATTCACATTGAAATATATAACAGTTTTTTTTCTGTCTGTTGACAGTATTTTCTAATTTATGGAGTGATAAAAAGACATATCTAAAATTCCCAGTATAAAAACCTTTAACTCTAATATTTCAACAAAATGAAACAAGAATTTTGAACCAGACTTTATCCAATATTCAGATTTATTTTCCTCTATTCTTTTTCTGTTCTATTGACTTATTTTATTTTTATTTAAAAATGACCCTCTAACACTAGCATTCCCTATTCTTTTTCTATTCTATACTTGTTTTCTTATTTTTTATTATAAAAACTAAACAAGCAAACAAACACACACACACAAAAAAAAACCTGACTACTTATACTTTTAGGCGAATAATTTTCTCAAAATGAGTTTGTTTCTCCATTTCAGCAACACTTACATACACTGAAATTTACAGTTTTATCTCTGTCTATATTCTGAAGGTTTTTATAGAGGGGTTTGTTCATACATCATTCACATTGAAATATATTGACAGTATTTTCTAATTTATGGAGTGATAAAAAGACATATCTAAAATTCCCAGTATAAAAACCTTTAACTCTAATATTTCAACAAAATGAAACAAGAATTTTGAACCAGACTTTATCCAATATTCAGATTTATTTTCTGGAAATGTATGCAAATTAGGGCATATTTTAATTAAGTATGGTGATATCTAATCAAAGTTCCTATTTCACATGACATTCACAGACTTTTAGACTATTTCTAGCATTTTTCGGGTTTTGTTTACTTATAGACAGCGCAGGGTAGTAACTGATTATCAGATTCCAAAAATTAATTACTTGTAATTAGAATAAATTACACTTTCACAAATGCACGTTATTTCTTTTTTACATGTAATGCATGGATTCCCAACTGTTTTGGTCATCTGAACCTCTTTGACCTAATATATTTTCTGGAACTGTATGCAAATTAGGGCATATTTTAATTAAGTATGGTGATATCTTTTAGATTACCCTAATAAAATGCATAGCCAAAGTTCCTATTTCACATGACATTCACAGACTTTTAGACTATTTCTAGCATTTTTCGGGTTTTGTTTACTTATAGACAGCGCAGGGTAGTAACTGATTATCAGATTCCAAAAATTAATTACTTGTAATTAGAATAAATTACACTTTCACAAATGCACGTTATTTCTTTTTTACATGTAATGCATGGATTCCCAACTGTTTTGGTCATCTGAACCTCTTTGACCTAATACATTTCCTTGAAGCACCCCCTGAGATTTTAAAATAAATATTTTAATAATTATCACATGTGCATGTTCACGGTTCTCTGACATTGGTTAATAATCACATGACATGCAGGTAAACAGATACAATATTTGATGCATGTTTAATGCACTTCATGTTGTTAATTACAACGAATGCAATGTATTTTCTTACTCTGTGTATGTTTTGTCAATATGGGACAAGATTATCCTATTTAAATCAAATGAGTTAGCTCAAAAGTAATCTAAAAGTAGTCCAATGATATGCAATGTAATGGATTACGTTACTAACTGTAATTTTTGTCATGCAATTCAGAATCAGTAACAGTACAACTTGTAAGTAATCTACCCAGCTCTACTAATAGATAATATTCCAAGTATCGGTTAATAGAAATGACTTTGTTGTTGTAAATCAGAGATATAAAGTAGGAATATGCCACATCTGGCTTAGAATGGCACACAGCACAATGCATTGTGGGTAATGTAGTTTTACCTCTCCTGTGCATTTTTATTTTTAAGAAACGTGGAGAAGTCTAACTCGCCGCTCTTATCTGGGACAGGCAGAGTCAAAGCGCTTTGCCAAAAAACTTCAGATACAGAAGCCGTTTGATCACATCTGACATACTGAGAGTTATATTTATTGCAGACGGTTTATATTTAGTGCATTTCATCACATTTGTCAAGCAGGGCTTCACTTCATCAGCAGCACCACGTGTGATGTCAGTTCAAATGACACTCCCTTCAATTAAAAACACTGTGAATGTGTAGCGTGGGACTTTCAGTGCTCTGTTTTTCTTCCAGGCGACTTTATAAACCATCTTTCTGCGTTTACTGTCCTTATCTGGATGTCCCGGGCACTGAGGTCTGCAGTTGTTATTGTTGAGTTTTTTCATCCACGTACTCCTACAGATTTCAAGTTTATTTAACTTAGTAAGCAAAGTTTACACTGTTGACTTTACCTGGGGCTTGGAAGTTTAATAGGACGTCCGTGCGATAAATAAACATTGATGTGAGTCATTTGTTTGGATGTTCAAATAGTTCCAGTGTCTCAGTTTAATGTTCACAATCACTGTAAGTCAGTCAATCATCATTTTCAATGAGCTGCTTGATTCTAACAATAGAGAACTAAAAATCCCATTCATTTTCTCCATCAGGGAATAACTTTTTTTATAGAACTTTATACAATAAGGATTGTTTCAGAGCAGCTGCGCATTAATAAAACCGGAAAATAATTGTTAATTTTTGACACAAATTCAATTTCAACTATAAAGAGGTGTATTTTAGTATTATTTATATTCTATTATATTTTTTATTATATTGAGTTAGCTTTTATTTTTGTATTTTCAGTTTTCATTTTAATTTTAGTTTAATTTTAATTAATTCTGTTATGTGCTTTTATTATTTTTATTAGTTTTTTTCTGTTTAAATATTTCTGTCTAGGTTTAATTTATTTTTTAATTCAGTTTTAGTTTTATGTTTTATTTATTTCCAGTTAGCAACTTTAGTGCTTCTAGCTTCTACTTATTTCTAATTTCTAATTTTAAAAGTTACAAAATATATATTTAATATTTTATTAATTATAACCCTGCTCTACAGAAGTAGACAAGCGTCATACGTTTGCTAATTCAATTCAGTTCAATAACAGTGTCAATGTTGCGAAGTTCATTGATTATTAAACACGTTCAATTCTGCTATAAGAAATCATTTCATAATTGATGAACTTTGCAACAATGACAGTTATTGAACTGCATTGAATTGAACTTTAATTAAAGACCTATTGTGAGCTAGGAAGTTGCTAATCAATGGTAGACGATTCTGTTGAAGCCATCAGCCTGCAATAATTCAACTTATTTTTAAAATAATCAAGTTAAACAGCAGAATTCACAGTGAGAAACTACATTACCCATGATTCTGCAGAGAAATCGCTTCCATGAAACACTGTGCAATGTTATATTTGTCTAGATACTTATGCATATTTTGTGCTAAACATATAATAAATTGTTTCTATAAACATATTCAACATCTTTAAATCAATACTTTATATTTCTCCATTGGTATGATTTTGATTATGTCATTTGCAATCAATGGAATTGCATTTCTTTCCTTCATTAAAGCCAGTCTATCCAATTTTCAAAAACTTTTTTGCTTCAAATCAAAGTTTGTAATATTGTAATTCACCTCGTCGATGGTTGGTTTGATTCATGGATTTTAAGTCTTAAGACATTTTCAAAATCCCTATGGGGAAAAAAACCGTAAGTGGGCGGGAACAGCTGCACTCTAGAGTGAGTTTGGGGCGGGGCTATCTGTTTGACTGACAGATGGGGAGCAAAAGGGGAGGTGCTACAGTTTGAAAGCAATCATTATTTTGCAGTTCTCAAACCATTTTACTTAAACAGACCAATAGATATAGACACCACATCGATTTTATGGGTCAGCAAGTGCCTGTCGAGCCCAAATCCAAATCTCTACATTTTCAAAATCCCTATGGGGAAAAAAAACGTAAGTGGGCGGGAACAGCTGCACTCTAGAGTGAGTTTGGGGCGGGGCTATCTGTTTGACTGACAGATGGGGAGCAAAAGGGGAGGTGTTACAGTTTGAAAGCAATCATTATTTTGCAGTTCTCAAACCATTTTACTTAAACAGACCAATAGATATAGACACCACATCGATTTTATGGGTCAGCAAGTGCCTGTCGAGCCCAAATCCAAATCTCTGTGTTTAAACCATGCATGATGTGTCTGTCTCGTTTTTATTCTTATATATTTTGTATTGAGCTCATGTTCAGTTCTCTCTCTCTCTCTCTCTTAACTAATTGTTAATATAAACCTCTTATGTCCAGACAACGTCTGGACTGATAAGCCCTGCCTATTATAAACATTTATTTATTATTTATTGACAGTCACATCGTGTATATTTTAAAGCAATTACTTTCTTAATTACTTTTAGTAGGCTACTCCATAATACTGCAAACATCCAGAAAAGATAAAGATATGTATTGTATTTGAAATCTACAGATGCAAATAGATAAAGTGCAATAAAATAAACTCTTAAATGCTTCCCACTAGTCTGAAATAAGACGGAAGCTAAATTGACTAGTGCATGAATAAACAGTGTTTTTGCCTGCAGTATCTTGCCTTAACAGATATTACACACTAAGGAAAGATGTAAAACACACAGCTTGAGAAGGAAAAATTAATGTCATTATTTAACACAAAGAGGGAAAACCTTCACACAATGAGGCAGAACATACATTATGCTTGTTTAAGAAAAACCTGCAACAAATCGAGAAGAATAAACAGAAATGTCAATGCATTTCTATAGAATAGAATAGAATGGAATGGAATGAAATAGAATAGAATAGAATGGAGTAGAGTAGAGTAGAGTAGAGTGGAGTGAAGTGGAGTGGAGTGGAGTGGAGTAGAGTAGAGTAGAGTGGAGTGGAGTGGAGTGGAATGGAATGGAGTAGAATGGAATAGAGTAGAATAGAATAGAGTAGAGTAGAGTAGAGTGGAATGGAGTGGAGTGGAATGGAATGGAGTAGAATGGAATAGAGTAGAATAGAATAGAGTAGAGTAGAGTAGAGTGGAATGAAATAGAGTAGAGTAGAGTAGAGTAGAGTAGAGTAGAGTGGAATGGAGTGGAGTGGAATGGAGTAGAATGGAATAGAGTAGAATAGAATAGAATAGAGTAGAGTAGAGTGGAATGGAATGGAATGGAATAGAGTAGAGTAGAGTAGAATGGAGTAGAGTAGAGTAGAGTAGAGTGGAGTGGAGTGGAGTGGAGTGGAATATATTGCATTTCTTGGGCCGCTGGAAATCTTTGCACAGTCAAAACACACTCTGTGCACACATTTTTGCAGAAATTCATAGGATGCATGCTATGCATAAAGTCCATTTCTGAAGGTGCAACGTGATGGTTACTTATAAATAAAGAGTTTACAGTTGCAAGTCAAGTCATATTAAATGATCTGAGTGGTTTGGAGTGCAGGTTCAGTCTGTGAGCGTCATGTGTTTGTCTCTGAGATGCAGTGTGTAAACGGCCCACGGCTCTGGTATATACATCACTCCTGGATATTTCCTCCGTAACACCTCGTCGTTCCACAGACAGGCGACCCAGATGGTCACTAACACGAGCGACAGTGAAAAACTGTAGAGCAGGAAGAGTCCGTTACCATCGGGCAGAAAACCTTTGCGCTTCTGGTGCACGACCGTAGCCGTCATGGCAAAAAAAGTTAAAATGAACGGGATGAAAATTTGTCCTTCTGTCACAAGATACCTGTGGAGTAGAGAGCAAGTCATATATTTTAGTTCCAGCTCAACTAAATTCTGATTGCATAAGCATTATTTTACAAGTGTTCATACCTGTTATTAAATGTGACTATTTATTAAACACTTGTGTGTGTGTTTTTTTAAATCATATTTAAAAGCAACAAGCCATGAGAGTCTGTGCAATACAGTGATTTTACCACAGTTATCCATGGTAAAAATACTAACACACTACCTCAATCGTCACAATACATTCTTCAAAACATTTGTGACCCTGGAGCACAAAACCAACCATAAGGGTCAATTTTTCGAAATTGAGAGTTATGTATCATCTGAAAACTGGATAAATACGCTTTCCATTGATGTATGGTTTGTTAGGATCGGACAATATGTGGCCGAGATACAACTATTTGAAAATCTGGACTCTGAGGGTGCCAAAAAATCTAAATATTGAGAAAATCATCTTTAAAGTTGTCCAAATGAAGTTCTTAGCAATGCATATTACTAATCAATAATTAAGTTTT